GTCGCGCCAATCTACAGGCTTGACGCATAGTTGTTGACGTTTACTGTTGTATAGTAATTTCGCAGATGTTTTCAAAACCCCGGGAAAGCTACGAGGTAAAACGCCTCGTACAGTGCGGAAGCGGGATGCGAACGAATCTCGAGTGGTGCGTTATATACCAGCTACTTTCTGAACACCTGATATCTGCTAACGTACTGCCCCCAGCCCTTGAGCGAGATCTTCTCATCCGCAAACAACAACAGCAAGACGGAGAATAAATTCAGTGCTAGCCCGGCTGTTCAGCGCTCACCAACCAAGCCCGTCACTGCGGCTGCAGGCCCAGCTACTGCGACGGAAGCCAAGAAGACCACGGAGAAAACATCACAACCCGAGTACCCAGATCTGACCCAGAACCTCAACTCCTTCCCGCAATACAACACGGACTCGGGCTACCATGGCATGCCGGAAGACGAGAGGGACGAAGAAGAGGAAGAAGACGATGTGGTCCTTACACAAGTGCAGCCCGAGTCGCAGTCCTCTACTCAGCCCATGGATCAAGAGCCTAGTGCTGCCGAAGAGCAACTCCACCAACCGCATGAAGAACGCCGTGCTACAGGGGCGTCTTTCCACTCCGCTCGCGAGGATGTGCACCAGCGCGAAGAAACAGTTGAGCCTGAGGTAACTGAACCATCGCCTAAGCGGAATGTTAGCACAAGTCCTCAGAAGCAAAAGTCACCGACGAAGAATACAGAGGATGTTGATGAGGCGCCACCGCAACCTGAGGAGGAACCTGAAGATAAGATCATGTCAGACGTGGACTCAGAACAAGAGCCGGCGTCGGAGTCGGCGCGTAAGGGCATCGTTGAGCTGGAACCTGAACATGCGCCGGAACCAGAGGCAAAACCAAGCGCTCAGGCCCATCAAGAACCCGGACCTGAAGAAGAGCCCGAAGCCACGCCCAGACGCGAATCCCCGCCCACGGAGAAAGCCGCACCAAAGCCAGTATCTAGTCCGCTTAAGGATACGAAATCGAGCCCGCCAACAAATGCAACTTCGCAACCTCGAGAACATCATCAGGACGACCCAGATGACGCAAATGACGACATGGCCCTCGATAGTCTCGATGAAATCGGCTCACCTTCGGAAGGATCTCCAGTACGCCCGCCGATTCGCAAGAGCAGTCTCACTTTTGCATCACTCCCAGCTCGCGAACCGCTGACGAAGAAGAGCCTGGGAGGCTCGAGAATTTCCCGCACGAGCCATCTCGACCTTAACAAGCTTAGTAGCGCCGGGGGTTATCTGGGCAGACAGACCGGTGGGCATCGGACGACCCAGCATGTTGCGGAGGACAGCAATATCCATGACGACAGGATGGATATCGATGACAAGAAAGATGTCACAGAGGAAACTAGAGATGCCGAGACCAGAGCCAGCAAGCTTCACAACAAGTCATCGACTCAACTCCTACACGAGAAAATCAGCATGCTCGGCAAGCTTCAGCCTTCTCGACCTACCAAGTCCATTCCTTCTGTCCCTGGCTTGTCGACTGCGCAGGTGACATACCCTGAACTTCCCACTGCCAAATCCGAAGCCAAGCAGGAGCCATCCGGCTCGAAGCCTCGCGAGACCCCGGCCCCTGACTCTGCCGCTGATGACGACTGGATCAAGCCACTGAATTCGCCCTACCGGCCAGATGTACGTGCCAGCCAGAAAGCTGGTAGCTTGGGCAAATATTCCGTCGCTCGGATACCCCGAGGTGGTGAGGAAGACCGTCCTTCCGTTGATAGGGAACGAGATGTCCATCCCACGGAGGAGCCGAGAACTAGCTCTAAGCACGCCTCAGATGCAGCTCGCGGAAAGTCGTCAACACCGTCCTACTCATCACCACAGCGACCTGCCCATCAGAAGAGTGCGTCTGCAAATCTTGATAACCAGATGTCCACAACCCCGGTTGGCTCACCGGCCGAGCGCTACGATGGTCCGATAAGTGCATCCAAATCGCGGCTTCAGTCTATCGTGCAATCCGCCAAGGGCCTTTTCATGAATACTGGGGGTGTTACAGCTGCCGCCAGAGTCGAATCTGCTTCTCCGGACCAACCGAGATTGAGGCATACAGGACGATTGGACACAGATCGTAATAGGGAAAGCCAGCGGCCGCAGTCGACACAGCCTCCGAGCCCTCCACGCCAAGAAGGCCGCCGGACGCGCAGCTCCACTGAAAGAGAGGAGAAGCGCAGACAGAAGGAGCTTGAAGACCGCCAGAAGGAAGAGGAGCAGGCGGAGAGAGCCCGGCAACTGGAGAAACAGAGAACCATGAAACTCAAGGCGCCACAGGAGAAGCCGACCGCTGACCCTGAAGCTCGCGCGCCAACCACCGAGTCAGCTACTGTGTTGCCGACGCAAAAGACATCGCACCTACAGAAACCATCCAAGGAACCAGAGCCTAGCATCGAAGCCGGACCCAAACTTGTCGCACCAAGTTCCGTCTCACAGCAGCAATCATCAAAGCAAAATGAACGTCGCCCTCTCAAGCCGGCTCGCGAGGTCCAGAAACCGAAGCCTCAGCCCGTGTCAATTCGCGTCGGCAGCGCACTCTCCCGGCAAATGCCGCTAGCGTCGCAAGTGTCTTCCAACACTCGAGAGTCTAGCGTCCCTGCACCAACTCCAGCCTCGGCTTCCAAACCGTCGACTCTGAAGAAGAAGGCTAGCAATACCTCATTACACACAGCCTCTTCTAACAGCAGTTTCAAGAGCTCTATATCCAGTCAGTCGCAGAGAAAAGCCCAACTTGCAAGTGAGAGGAAGAGAGAGCAAGAGGAGCGCGAAGCAAGACGCCGGGAGGAGCAGAGACGCGAATTGGAACGGAAGCGTGCCGCTCAGCAGCAAGAAGAAGCTCGTCGTCAGGAGATGCGCAGTCGGGCGGAGGCTGAGCGCCGGGAGCGACTTGCTGCCGAGGATCCAAAGAAGGCCGCCCACATGCAAGCCATTGAAAAACGCCGCTTGGAGAATCAGCGCAGACTAGAGCGCCAGGGAAGCCAGCAGCCCGAGGCAAGCCAACGCAGCGAGCTTGGTGCAGCTAGACCAGCCTCACGACTGGGCTCGATTCAGCCGTTCAATCGGTCAATTAACCAGCCCCAACCCAACCCCGCTAAACCGCCCAAGAGAGGGCTTGATGACGAGGCCAACCACCGACCGACAGCACCGAAGTCTGCTACCATGCAGCCGTCGGGCGAGACCAAACGTAGGAGGACAGAGGATGAGCAAAGCCGCATGTCCTCTATGCGTCCGGCGATGGCTCCGCCGATCCGTCAATCGAACATTCGTAAGGTGAGTACTACGCGAGTTTTTGAAATGTCTTTGAGCAGCGCTGACCGTGTAACGAGGAACCGACACAGCCGTCCATTTTTGGTCATACACAGCCTTCTGTTGCACATCAATCCGGCTCCTCAATCTTCAAGACGGGTCAGGCCCAGCGACCCGGGCATCCACTGGATATGGCCAAATACGCCAGTGGCAAGATCCCCTTTGCGGAACCCCCCAGCGTGCAGCCGGCTGCACACCGAACTCCTGCCGCCGCTAGTGCGTCTCAAAAGGCACCGGTCAAGGAGTCACCGAAGTATCCGAATGGTGAGAACATCAACCTTCCCGAGATTGCGACCGACAGTGAGGACGAGGACTCGGATGCGGAGATGCTTCCCGTGCCCAAGTGGGCCCAGCCCAAGGAACTGGAATCCCTCCTGCGCCAGCAGGAAGGCATGGAGGTGGATTCTATTTTCGGCCCTATTGCTCCCTTCTCCCTGGAGGAGACCTTCAAGTCGGACAAGAAAATCAAGAAGTTCCGTGAGCGTACGAGTAGCGCGAACTGGTCTGGCGCCGATGGGCTGACACAGGACGAGATCCGACGTGACCTAGCTGAGCGGCAGCGTCTGCGCCTCAACGGTGGTTGGTCCTTTAATGGATAAAGGGTGTTTTCATAATGTTTTCTGGTTAGGTGTTTGTCTATACTTTCACTGGGGGTTGGCCTACATGACTTATTTGGGATGCTTTCATGTTATTGAGGACGTTTCTTGCAGGACAAATTTCTGGGTGGGTGGCATAACAGGACCGGCGTTGAGCAGATTGCGTGTTTGATTACCTTCTAGCTATACTACCAGACACCACTTAATGCATGTATGCATTCCTTATTTCTTGATACTTCAATTTCATGTTTCTTCTTCCTCCCTTTTCCAAAGTACGTTCTTTTACGTCTGCGACCGGAAGATGCGGGCGATGGTTCAGGAACCGCAGTGGCTAAAAGGCCCGATAAGCGTCTTGTCTGTCCTCCCCAGACTTCGAAAAGAAAGGCTCGAGTTCCAAGGAAGGTCGTATCACCCGGTGACGACACGACCATCGCCTTCCAGTTTTAGGGAGGGATCACCATCCCAGCGGCGAATCCTCGTTCACGACCGCTGCAGGTCAGATAAGCTCCTGTTCCTCGATACTCGCCGGCCGCTCAGAAGGCCGCGGCATCCTCGAATGCAACCCGACGACGGGTTTGCGGTTCTAGATCCAGGAATGTGGTACATAAGAAAGCGAGGTAGATGTGGGAAGGAAGAACTGGGATGTAGCAGCTTCTCAATGCTGCATGAGCTGATTTAGTGGTCACCAAATGGGTAGCTGAGAGGCTACTGGGATACACCGATGACTGACTCCTACTACTACTCATTGCTAATAGTTGGTATGTATGTCTCAGGCCTTGAGAAAGAAGGGTAGCTGCAGGATCAAAAATTGCCTTTCCTCTGTACTCGCTTACTGTGCAGTTGTATGCATTAGTTTCTGCTTGAAAGTCACAGCCTTGTCGGAGGGATTTGTATGGCCCTTGCGGTTAATGCCAAATAGGAGAAATACTTGTTCATCGTGCGTTTGTTGGCATGCAGTTATTGCTTTTTCTTCCTTTGGGGGCGGTGGGGAAAGGGAGGGGGGGTTCTGACTGGGACATACTTCTTACCACAGATTATAAGCATGCCATGCGAGTTACTATCCCTGTTCAGCTTGTGTAGAGAAGATCAGAAGCCAGTTGGAAGTACGAGTACAAAGTCGGCACATGAATAAGTTAGCAGTGACGATGGATTGGGAAGGCGCCACGGGACCCGCCCGGAAGTACTGCAGTCAGTCCCGCTCGGGAAGGAGCGATAAACTAATGGACTACGGGGTACTACTGCATGCTCTAGTATACCTTCTCAGTTTCTACTGTCTCTTTCATCTTCTTCCATCCAACTCCTTCCCTCTGTGCTCCCAGCCTGAGCCTGAGCCTATTTCTTTCTGTCTTCTGACTACAACCCATCTCAAGAGGATCCGCTACGTTCTCACAGCCTAAACATACCCTCGCAGCCAATCACTGTCCTTCATGGTCACCCAAAGGCTAAACATCACGTTTCACAAACACATGCGATGACTCCCCTCTTCGCCCCTCAAACAAGCCTAGAACATACCCTGTTCCCCCAATGTCTAATTCTGGGGAGGTCAGAAAGGCTAATTTGGCACGTGTGGCAGCCTGAGTAATTTCCCATTGTCTTGAATTGAGTTTTTCCTCTGCCTTTCTCAGACCAGCCCCCCTGTCGCGGTCTACCCATCCACTAACCACCAGAGAACCTGTCGTACTTCCTGAGTCGTCAACTCTAGCTGACACTTAGTACCGCTCGGCCGGAATCCTTCTCTATTGTCTTCTAACGCCGATTCCAAGCCGCTGCGCTTCTCCCCGCTGGGGCTCGGCTGCGCCTTTGAGGGACTGACTGGACCTGTTGGACACAACAGGGTTATTTGGAAGCACAGATGAGTAGAAGGAACCAGAGAGCTGGCACGCCACAGAATCGTGGGGCCCCGGCACAGAATCCCGCGTGGAAGCTCAGCATTACTGGGACCAGCGGGATGGTCTGCTTTATCGGGGCTGACATCTCTCTCTACCTTTTCTAATGGACGTAAAAGCCAGATCTGGCCCGGGGAGTGATCTACAGACTGAGATTAGGTGACTCTGCTGTCATTGAGTACTGCTTCCATGCAGTAAGGCCTGAGTTTGAAGCTGTGCTAGTGAGGTTCCCCATACCAGAGGTGTCGTCCGATAAAATGATTTATAGTGTGACCATGGGTTTTCATCCTTCGGCTTGGATGAGCTCGTGAAAAAAAAGGGCCCATACTGTCGACAGTAGTACCTAGTACATGCCCGTCGGCAGTCATCGGCTGGAGCGGATGTGAGACAATCGAGGCCAGTTCCTTTCCTTTCCCATTCCAAAACTGAGATTCCTAGCTTGGCCTCCTCAGCCCGCCAGCCACAAAGTCACCACAGTACAAAACATCGTTCTGAAAGGCTTTCAGCACCCCTGAGATCCGATGGAAATTATAAGCTGGCGGAAAAGCAGCGTCTGGTGATACAAGAGCGAGCTGCGGCTTCCCGTTGGTCTGAGACCTCTCAAATATCCGCCTCGCCGAGCCAGTCTCATCTAGCCCTGCTCGTTCGTTATTGGTCATACGAGTAAAATGCCTAGTCCCCCGGTTGCTCGAGCAGCTCGTCATATGTACTTCAGATCGGTTGCTAGATGCTCGTGGACGGCATGAGTTCGCCGTCTGGCGACCGGCCTGCAGAGCCAAGATGTCATCATCAGCAGGCTCCAGACGATACAGTACGAGAACGTCATGTAGATCCCCATTTCAAGGTTTGGGAATCTTGGCCCCCCTTTTAGCCTTGTTACTGGGGTTATCGTGCCATCAGTGTGCAAATAAGGGCTATCAAGGCCTAAAAGGTTTACGACATTGGCACCAATACTGGTCAATTGCACAGGACATCCACAATGCCGTACGAGTCCCTAAAACCTAATACACCGTCTGATCTGATGGTATTGCATCGCGACCCTGGTCGTGGGTAACTCCAGATGGGCGGTGGAACGAAGGTGGCCTCGATGAGCTACAGACCTACGTGAGCTCCGGTCATACCAGGATAGTCAATGTCAATGATGACAATGAGATCCCCAGAGCCTGCAATACCCCAGGGGGGTGCAAGTAATCTACAGGGACAGTTGGAGCATTGATTCTCTCAGCCGACATCATAAAGCCTAGGTCTGGTCTCAGAACAGTGGCTGATACCGTCTCGTGATGCTTTGTCAACTATCGGTGAGGTTGTCTCATGAGGGAAACCTCCATCCAACACATTTCTTCAAGCCAACCGTCTATTCGAGAATCTATTTGGGGACTTGGTTCACCGCTGGCCTGAAGCCTCGAGGGCCGGCCAATGGTTTGTTCCATGCAAACAGAACAAGCCTATTTTCCACGGACTCAGCCATTGAGCTCATTCTCCGAAAACCATCAGGGGACGCATGCATTGGCGCTGGTGTAAAAGGAAGACCCTGTAATTTTTCCCGCTTTTCCTTTCTTTTCTTTTTCTATTCCCCTGTGTGTTGTTTTTCCTGGCATGCCATTTCTCTTAGGTAGACTTATTATGGGCGCAGAAAGATCTCCCGACCTTCGGGCTTGAACAACTACTGTGCTCTGAGTCGCCCCGTTACGGTTTGGTAACCTTCATCAAAACCTTCGTAGACCTTCTAGAACTTTGCTAAATGAGCATAGCGAATGGTAAGTCTCAGCCTAAGAGAAGCAGAGAGATCGGTGAAGATGTGCAGTTGCATATCTGACTTTTCTCATCGTTATTTAAGATTTCGATGCCCACCCCTCTCACTTCTACCGAGCCACACATTCTATCTGTCTAATCAGTTGCCTAACTCGACTCATCGCACTATGACCTCTATAAACTCTCTTCTGAACCCCGATATCTCGTGCCCCAGTCTTAACCGGGGGAGCATACAGCGTGGAGTGTCTTTACAGACACCCCGCTCAGAAAGGACGAAGGTCCCCAAAGATCAGCCTTCATTTAGGAGGGGCAAGATCCAGGGCGAAGTTCGCTATCGCGTTCACGATGAGCGCGATGAAGAGCTCAAGAAGATCCACTTGAAGCACAAGCTATACCCCATGGGCAACATAGCAGACTTTCCGGACCGCATTCCCTACACTAGCACAAAAAGGTCATTCAAGGAGCGGACAGGGCGAGAACGATTTGAAGGTGATTGCCCATTATCCTAATTCAAGCCATACGTTGACCGGAAGAGTTTCCCATAGTTTTCCACTACACGTTCGAACTGCCCGACAGCCCCAAAAAGTGGGTGATAACGTGGGATTATAATGTCGGGCTTGTTCTCACAACAGCTCTTTTCAAGTGCAATGGCCATCCAAAGGTGTGTTGCCTACTCTGTGCGTAATAAAGCACATCTGATGGTTTCAGACCGCTCCCGCGAAGGTGTTGAAAATGAACCCGGGCCTCAGCGAGATCACTTACAGCATCACGGGTGGCGCACTCGTCGGACAAGGTAAGTTTGAGTTTCCATCCAGACACCTCCGCTAACTAAGATGAAGGATACTGGATGCCATTTAGGGCTGCAAAAGCGCTAGCAGCCACATTCTGCTGGAATATTCGTTTCCTCCTAACGCCCATGTTCGGCCTCAACTTTCCCGCGCAGTGTATACCCCCAAACGACGCCCGCTTTAACAATATGATCATCGATCCGGAGATAGTTCGTCAAGCCACGGAGGATGTGGCGTACTATCGCAGCCTGGAGCCGCTGGTCCCCAGACGTGGAGGTCATCAAAACTCCCAAGAACTCGACCGAGACCAACAGTGCAAGACCCGAGACGCGTCGCCTTGCCAGCAGACATGTCCGAACGTCTCTCTGCACGATACTGATTGCGTTTCGCCAACCAGCAGCTCTCAGAATTCGTATATGCTGGCAAATACCCCCTACATTACCGACGAAAGTATCTCACCACACGCAGTTTTCGAGCGTGGGATGCGAGAGGATTTCCGGTCAGAGACAAGCTCGCAGCTTACCTTCTATGGTTCCAGCTTATCGAGCAACCACCTCTCCGATGACGACCACAAGAGAGACAGTCAAGATGACCCGCAAGAGAGTTACTGTAGAAGCGACTTATCCTCGGCTGATGTCATCTTGGCTACTGAAATGGTTGATGCCTGCTTCTGGCAGCCAACGGATACTTGTGAGCCTGAGGCTCCCTTGGAGGGTTCCAGGACAGCCATTGCCGCACATGCACTAATGGATTTGCGCAATAGCGGGTTCAGATATAAAATGTTGTAAGTTGACAGGATGACTCCATGCATTTTCTCGGTACCACTTCTTATTAGGGTGTGATCTGTGGTCTTTGTGGAAAGTTGTGCATAGGCTGTTGATTGGATGGATGGATGGCGTTGCGGTTGTTTTCAGTGGATATGTAATGGCGTTGATTATGAATTGCAATTTGATTAGAATAGACTTGGCATGATTGTTCATAGATTGATCTTTATGTATTGTCGCAGGTGCAAATAAACCAGAGGTATGGTTGTGGTTGTTGGAACTATGTCAAGGAGTATTGCTTGTTAGTAAAAAAATCACCAAGTAGAACGTTCTATATCCCCCATCATCACATACCTTACCTTCCCTCCTATATCATTACAGCTACCGCCAGGCTCCAAAAGGCTCCTAGAGTAGTACAAATAAAATCAATACCTACTGCAAGTGTTATTCTTTCCTTTTTCCCTCCCTGCGAACCAAGCTAAGCATGTACTCCATTCGAATGTAGAATGTAGAGTTATCGAAGTCGGATACTAATGTCATCTAATGATCTATAGACGTTGGTTTTTGTTACATGGAAACCGGGAGGGGCGAGGGTAGGAGTGTGTATATGTATGTCATCATTGAATTAAAATTAGCTAATAATCTATCATCTATCTATCTATCTATCTATCCATCCTCCCCACCCATATATACATCTACTATATCTATACCCCCCCCCCATCTACTACTCATTTTTTTTTAACCCCGCCCACTATTCTCATCAGAATTAAACAGCATACCGACTCCACCCGCGGATGACCACACCATACCGATAAAACACATACGGGACGGGAGTCATCAACGCACTAATCGCCCCCAGGATCGTCAACGTCCAATGTACCCCCATATTACCATAAAACGGGATGCCCACGACCGTCATCCCGCCTGCAGCGCAGTAGCGCGACACTGTCATGAAGCCCAGTGCAGAGGCGGCGTAGATGTCGTATGCGTCGATGACGTACATGTATGAGGAGATGAAGACGCAGATGGTGCCGAAGCCGAAGACGGTGGAGGCGATGATGGGGGACCAGATTGAGATTGTGCTCTATTTTCATTACGTTAGTATGGGGGTGAGGGGTATAGATATAAGGAGAAGAGGGGATAGGGGACGTACGTAGTCAGTCCATCCCATCCAGAATAAGCCGATGGGAATGGCGGGAGCGCCGAGCATGGCGAACCAGAGACGGTTCTCAGGACGAGCGACGTGTTTGTGCTGCTGTTGCTGGGTGGGCTTTTGAGTGTCATCGTCGTCGGTGGTAGTAGTAGGGTCGTCGAGGTTGGGTTTCTCATTGGTATCGGCGTTGGCGTTGGGATCGGCAGCGACGATTTCCGAACTGGCCGATCGGGGGGACGCCGCTGCAGATGCAGCAGCGGATGCAGCCGCGTCGGAGAATTCGCGCTTTGTCCAGACGTACACGACGGGGACGAAAAGGCCGGCCATCGAGATGCCGACGTACATGGCGACCCAGACGATGTTGGTTAGGCCCTGGGACAGGCCGTGCACGTCGGAGAAGATGTACGTGTATCCGTCGAAGAAGGTGAAGAGCACGATGTAGATGACGGTCATGTAGAGCGAGATCAGCAGGATGATGGGTTCGTGGATGGTCAGGGCGAATTGTCGCATGCAGGCGGTTCCGATGCGCGAGAACAGAGCTGTCTCCTGGAGATCCATCGATGAGCGGTAGCGGTTGTCGCCCGTTTGGTGGCGGAGGTGGTGTGCCTTCCATTTCAGGAGTAGGGGGCCGTAGGTCTCGGGCTGCACCAGGAGGATCAGGGCCAGGATGAAACCTGCCAGGATGAGGATGATCCAGTTGGTCCAGCGCCAGGAGAGCGTGCCCTCGCCCATGTAGGAAGCGATAACGGGGCCGAGGACGGGCCCGCCGAAGGAGAGGATCGCGTAGAGAGGGAAGAAGAGCGTTTTCTCCAGGGGGTTCCAGAGGTCGGCGATGGTACCGCCGGCGCAAGTCAGCGGCGGGCAGCCGAAGATGCCAGCCAGGAAGCGGAAAGCGAGCTGTGCGCCGATATTTGGGGCTAGTCCTGAGGCCATGACGAAGATCATGAAGAGCGTGAGGGAGCCGGTGTAGACGGCGTTGCGGCCTAGGATTTCGGACAGGGGCCCGGAGACGAGCGAGCCTGCTGCGAAGCCGAGCAGATACATACCCGTTGCGAGCGATGCGACGACGTCGCTGACGTGAAAGGCTGCTGCGTTCTGGGGAAGCACGCCGGATTCGATAGATGAGGCCGCACCGACGGCGAAACCCAGGGCGGACACCATCAGGGTTGCGCCGATGCGGGTGGCGCGGCTGTAGTTGCGCGGATTGATGGGATCATGGTCACCGTCCCAGTCGACGAGAAAGACGGATGAGGAGGTGCCATCACTCTCAACTACGTCCTTCAGCTGCACACCTGGCAGCAACGGACTAGAACGGCGGCGTGAACCTGTGTTAGGAGCGTCTTCGGGGATCCCCTCCGGCAGGTCATCTTTGGCGACACCTGGTCGGGCAAACTCCGGGAAATCTTCGAGTTGTTTGCGCACGGCATGGCCAATGCGGCGGTACTGAAGATAGGCCTGCATGAAGGGGAGATGTCTGTCAGTGGGAGATGCACAGGAAGAGAAGAAGGAAAGAAAAGGAAACAGACGAGAGAACCACCTTGGAGACGACGAGAACTACGCAAATCCTGGAACTAAAGCATTGCTGAATAATGGCAAGGCCAGTATCGGTCGATAATTAAGGTCCGGAAAGACGCAATCTCCTTCAACAGCGGGTCTTGCTTTCTCGAAAGGCAAAGGAAAAAGAGACTTCAAAGTCAAGCCTTGGATTTGGTGGATCCCCAAAGTGGAGCCTGAGTGGAGCCTGGGGCCACACTTTCCTCGGACTTCTCGCCGACTTCTCTTTTTTTCGTTCTACAAAAAACCCCATCCGAGATAAGACTTCGGAGCTAACAAATGGAAATTCGAGTGCATTATCAAATCTGGTGAAACAGTAGCAAACGAATAGTAGTAGTAGTAGGTACAAAACGACTCAATAAGAATTAGTTACGTCCAAGTGTATGTACTCTTCTCGCCACATCTTTCTTCTTCTACTCGCTGTCCTCTGCGAAATCATCCCCCGAATCTCCTCCGGCTCCAAAGTCATCACTGTCATCATCAATCACGTACGTCTTCTTCTTGGCCGTTGCCGTACGCCGCGATGGCCGCGTAGTAGGCGCCGCGGGCGAATCCAAGATATCATTAGCCATTGCATCAATGTCGTCGTCCGACAAGTCATCCGCCAGCTGCTTCTTCTTGGTGGTCGTCTTGGCTTGCTTGGAAGCGTAAGCCTTGGCTGCTGGCGACAGCGCCGTCTGCTTAGCAGATGCAGCTGTAGTGGTGGTGGCATCCTTCTTGGGTCGGCCTCGTGGCTTCGCGGCCGGTTTGGCTGCTGCCGCTGCCTTGCCTCGGGCCGCCGGCTTGGCCTTGGTAGCGGCCGGCTTCACTGGCTCCTCCTCCTCCTCCTCGTCGCTGTCAACTAATGTCTTGGTCTCCTTGGACTTG